TATTAGGAACATTTTTTGACAGAAAAAAAATATGCTCCGATGCTCAAGGATGGGTAAAGGAAAGACTTTGGGAGCGAGTTTACATAGGATTTTAAATTTGTTGACTCCATACTTGATCGCATGTACTAATTCGGCATGCTTTGCTTTTCTTAATTGTGGAATCGAAAATGTGAGGCTTCTGAAAGCGAAGTAAATAATTGGGCAAACGCTTGCTGGGAAGGGAAAAAGTTTTTAAATGGCTGACTAAGTGAGGGGTTCGATCGCAACAATTAATATATTACATTTCTAACTTCTTCACTTGGCAATTCTATTATATAAAATCAAATTTAGATTCAACTCAGCCATTCCGAACATCCAACATGACTCATTCTAAGTACTTGAACTTTCTGTACATTGAGCTCATCATCCTGTTTCTTAGAGATTTCTCCACGCTGCCTGCTGAAAACTTTAGTCGTCTGAATGCGGGTTAATCACCCCTTTTTGGACCTCTTCCACTATCAACTCCTCAATAAGCCACCGTTACGCCAAAGTTAATTCGCGACATCATAAGCCACTCTGCTTTATTGCGAACACCGATCTGCGCAGTAATTGTGATATCGACGGTTCTGCTAATCTTAATTCTAACCAAAGGCACATTGGACAGAGGCACTGCTGTTATTAGTACGGACTGATGATAATGGACGAAAAATGAGGGTTCAATGCGAAAATTCAGACTGTCTGATAGAATCCTCGTTTGATGATCTCTACAAAAATGCGGGAGCCACTTAAATTACTTTTAGCACTCTTAACAAAAGTACGCTACTTTTACTTGTAAGGGCATACATATTCCATTTTATACGCACCATGAATACGGAACAAGTTAGTAAACGCGAAACTGTGCGTAGTGAAATAGGGTAATATAGCATGAACAGTTAGAGGCTAATTTCCACGGGAAGGCGCGAAATTTACAAATCTGTCCCAAACCACTCGGACAGAAGACGGGAAAGTAATTGTGGCTCAAAGCTGTCTTCTTTCTTTGCTATTAGGTGTTCAAGACGAAGAGCAAGCTGATCTTCGAGACATAAGCACTACGTTGGGAAAAACCTCTTAATGTCAGTCAGGAATGGACGAAATCGTAAAAAATCGAATTTAATCAGATACACTTTTCAAGGTTAAGCAGTATTATCTGCAAACAATAAGCTGTTTGCAAGCTCTATATTGTATGTTCCAACATTTCTGCGCTGTTAAAGTTCGTTCTTTGTTTTTTTGAAATCTATTTTGCACCTTTCATGTGTTTTCATGTTGTGTAATAGTGAATAGAAATAAAGTATTAATGGTGATAGGTCATCCCAAAGCGCCATTTACTCAAATCTATTGAATTTCAAAGCTCATTTGTTCTTTTTAATATTGGTAGTTATTAAACTAGAAATCTCAAGATGCTTTATCAGCGGCAGATTAGGTGCAGTATGCATTAGCATACTACCTATCACAAACATCGAGCTATTTTGTTTATCGAACAACGTGAACTCGTGATGATAGCTTTTGCAATTTGAACTTTTTTGAATGAAACATCGCTTATTAACGTTCATTACATTACAGGCATGAGCACCAATTTGAGTATGTTTCCATTGGATGAAAAA